TATATTAATTGGCAAGTTACGAGTATTAAATACACCTTCATAGCAGGCTTGGATTCGTCGTTGTGACGCCAAACAAGGCAATTTTTCGATAATAGTTGATAAATATTTGCATATTACTTGGCAAGTTACGAGTATTAAATACACGAAATTATTCATAATTATCATTAAGTACTTAAGAATTAGTTTTATTATAACAATTTTTCGTTCTAACTTATTTCACCTTTAAATAGTTGATAAACTTTTGAACTTAATATTGTTGTGATTAATGCATAATTTCTATAACATTTACTTGGAAGTTAAAGTATATAATGATGCAATGAATTTGATAAATGTTAAATTTGTCACTGAAAAGTTCAATTCTCAATGCAGCAGTATAATTTATTGATGTGGTGAGCCTATCACAATGCATGTTAGGTTAGGTTACGGATCAATATTGAATAGAGGTGAAAAAAAAGAAAAAGAAAAGAACAAAAAACCAAAAAGGTAAAACGATCGTTCGGGGGAGGATTATTTTTAATGTGCAGAGATGGAAGTCAAGTTAGAATGCCCGACAGACACACATTCCACCCTCTTAACATAAAAAAAAAAAGACAATAGACTTTCGCCCCCCCTATTTGCGATAAAACGAAACGCATACAAACAAGTGCGTGCATTTTTCAGTTCGGAGACGGCGCCAACCGCGATTATTATTTATTCAGCTAGATAAACCACCCCATCGGCGTAATGTTACTTGTTAGCGTTCGTCAAATGGAATAGTCTGATTGTAATTGGAGCGCCCGTGGAAAGGTAGCGGTGTTTCCTGGAAATCTTGAGAATAGAAAGGGAATGATGGATCAAGGTTGCCTCGGATCGGATTAAGGGGAGTCGGGGGCGCACGTTTCTGTAGGGGAGGGGGAGGGAAGGGAAGGGAAGTGCGCGCGCGCGTGGTCATCAACCCCCTTAGGAAAGCCACGACACACACAGAAGCGTTACGTGATACACCCTTCTCACTCTCACACCCTGTACACTACACCCAGAAAGGGCTAATACATATATCTATATCTATATATACACACAAGTATATAGACGTAGAATATACAAACACGGTTGGTTCGTGTGTGTGTGTTACGTGTGTTTATATCGAACGTTGCGATCCTGAAAAGTCGCGTCGCTCCGCGCACCGAGTGAAGTAGTAGCAAAAAAAAAAATATACTTCATCAACATAGCTGTGTGTGGAAGACATTAGAAAACAAAGGAAAAGCTAAAGAAAACGTACGTGGAAATTGGGGCGCGGAAAGCTATGGCGGCAAGTGCGCGCGGAACCGGGACGACCCTCTGATCTTACTTGCTCAACGAAAAACGAAGAGAGATCAAACCCGGAAACACGGAAGAAAATTCATTTTTTTTTTCGGATTGAACGACGAGAGAAGCACGGAAACAGGTTCGTGCCAAAATTACGTTTTTTTTTTAAATTTTAAATCAAAGAAACAACACAATAAAGAAAATCAATCGAAACGAATCAACGACCTTCCCTTTCGCAATCTGACATTTCCTCCACACAAATCGAAATTAAATAAATCAAACAACATTCGAATATCGATTGTGATGCGATGTGTTTTTTTTTTGGTTGTTTGTTATTTAACTCCTCAAACGGTGGCGATGCGACAACAATCGCTTCTTTGTCCACCACCACCAGAATCGATTTATATAACGTCAAGTTTATAGAGAATTGACCGTTCGATTTCGTTATTGTCATACATTTTTTTCTCTGGTTGACAATTGCAACAATTGACACATGTCAATTTTGCTGTTGTCAAATACAATAGCCTCTGATTAAAGTGTAGTTGTGTTATTCATGTCTTTGTTACTATGGAAATGTCAGGAAACGTGCGAACGCTGACATTTTATAGTCAACCGGATGCGCTCGTGTCTTTGTTGCTATGGAAATGTCGAATGTGATGCGAATTTGCATGAATATAAATTATATTCAACTCGAGTTTCCGCTGTTGTCATTATTACATTTTTTTTTTTAGTTGATAATCGCAATTGGCACATGACATTTTGCAGTTGTCAAACTGTTTTTGTTGTTATGGAAATGTCAAGAAAAGTTCTAATAAAATGCTTTTACAGTTGACATACATTTATGAAAGATGAATCAAAGCTTCAACTTTTTTTTGTCGGGGTGCGGGGGGTGGGGGTGGTTTGTGTTGTACGAGAATTTCAGGCGCCTTTGAAACCTTGGTTCGGGTCCAAATATGGGAGAAAAAAACACATTTTCCATGCGATCAATAACACAACTCTATTAATTGTAAATGATGTAGAACTTACATTTATTCCAATATAAACCAGTAAATTGTCTTTTTTTTTTTCTTCAAATTATTACAAAAAAAAATGTTTTACTAATAAAAATTTTGGAAATGTTACAAATTTCTATTAGTATTTTAAATATATATATTTTTCCTTTAAGATAAATAATGAAAATCTTTGTTAAAAGAAGGAAATTGGATTTTCTACCTGATCCATATCTTAAATTAGATTCTTGAAGTTCAAGGTCGTGTCTCAAAGCTTCCTCCACCTACTTGTTGTTCATCGCACAGAAATAAACCTTGAACATCCTTGCAATGAAGTCATACGTTCTTTTAATAGTACACTTCATTACTTTGTTTCCTTTCTTTTAGTAAATTAATTTTGCTAATTACAAGTTTTAACATCATAAACCAATTTAAAGAGATATAATAATTCCAATGTTTTGGAATCCAGGCTGTTACCTCGAGGAACTCCAGATCGTAATATTATTGAAATCGATTAAAAAACAAATGTTTCAACTAATAATATTAAGTTTCTGTCGTTTTATAATCAGGAAAACACGAAACAACGGTTATTATCCAATTATTTAGTGTTATCAATTCCTTCATCAGATTTTCCGTTAATTGGAAAACACACTTCCATTTGTCAGGGCGTGCTTGCTTTCTGACCCTATCCTGTCTACGAAATAAAAAAAACCAAATCACTTAATTATCTTAATGGAAAAAAAGAAGGTTTAGAAGTGTTTCGTTCATTTCGCAGGTGGACTTCGGCGGAGGATGAAGCAGTTCGCGGACGAGATCCGAAGACACATTGTGATGACGAAGACAGGAGCGCGTTCGGCGGAGCATCAGATCAAAAGGATTTAGCGAACTAAAACTTTCGTATATAATAGAAAGGAAGAGAAAACTTTGGGAAGATGGGTGAGAAACAGGGTTCGACGATTTGGAGCCAGCTGAAGGCGATGCTCATCAGGAATATCCTGCTGAAGAAACGAGAACGACGGAAGACCATAGCGGTAATTGGATTAAATTGGTAAAGTAGTTTTATGTGTGGTTCATGTGCGTATTCTGCAGGAGGTGCTGCTGCCTTTATACTCGCTGAGTATTTTGATCGTGATGAAGATCTTCATCCCGAATCCGAACTTCCCGCAGGTGGACACGCCGAGGGGAGAGGCCAAGCTGTTCAAGCACATCCAACACATGACCAACTACACGGTGGCCGTCGTCCCGAACACCACCGAAGTTCAAGTTTGGTTTTGAAGAAAAAAAACAAATTGCTTGTATCTTACCTGTGTTTATTCCAGAAATTCTTGCAAAACGTGAACGAACTGTGGCGCGATACGTCGGATCAGGAGTCCGTTGAACCTATACACTGGATCTACTTTCCCAGTAAAGAGGAGTTGCTCACTAGTTATTGGAAGTTACCGAGTTCAGTGCCGATGGCCGTCATCTTCGAAGAGCCGGGTCCCATCGACGGACCATTAAGGTTTCCTCATCATTTCTTCATCTTCTTTTTAACACTTTTTAGTTTTGGTATTTGAAGGTACGAGATCCGAGCGAATCCCTCCTTTCACGACATGCCCTCGACGACGGCTTACTACAGTTCCCCTGCGAGCTGCAGGCAGACGACCGCTCTCATCAACGGCCAACTATCAGCTATTATTCCCATCGAGACCGGAGACAGTTGTCCGGTGAATCAGTACTACTATTCCGGATTCATTGCGCTTCAAGCGCTCCTCGACTACACGAAAATTGGCGTAAGCAGACCACATCATCATCAACAACAACAACAACTGCAACAACACCAAAACATCAAAAATATTGCAATAAATCGGATCATTACGCACGAACACAAGCCCGCACGAACGAACACCACGCTTTTTACACCACGAGCAGCCTTCTTTCAGTTGCGCAGTATCTTCAGGCACTCGTTTTGTTGTTGTAGATCGACACAGGAAGGGAGGTGCGGGTGCCGGAGCTGCTCTTGGAGATGTTCCCGAAGGAGGCCTTCACCGGCAACTGGATGGTCGCCTTCCGCGTCGTCATACCCCTGTACATGGTGATGGCGCTCTCGCAGTTCATCACTTACCTACTCATATTGATCGTTGGAGAGAAGGAGAGGAAGATCAAGGAGGGCATGAAGATGATGGGATTGCGCGACTCCGTCTTCTGGCTATCTTGGTTCATCATCTACGGCATCTTCGTTCTCGTCCTCTCGACCGTCTGCTGCGGCCTCCTCTACGTTTTACGAGTGTTCCAGAACACCAATCTCTTCGTCATATTCCTGCTCATCTTTCTCTACTCCCTCTCCATCATCATGTTCGGCTTCATGATAACACCCTTCTTCGACAAATCAAGGGTAAGTCAAAATACATTTACCAAAAACTCAACTAACAACAACATTAGACAGCGGGAATCTTGGGCAACTTCGCCGTCATCATCATGAGCCTCTTCTACTTCATACAAGTCTTCGTGGCCAACTCCAACTCCGTCACCTTGTGGTTCGTATCGCTCATCAGTTCCGCTGGATTCGCACTCGCCATGGATAAGGTCAGTATCTAAAAAAAAAATATATGATTACTTCGGATATCTAATAAAGCGATTCAGGCTCTCGTCATGGATCTATCCGGCGAGGGAATCAACTTCGAGAACCTCTGGTCTTCGGGGACCGGAATCCCATTCGGCGGCAGCCTCATCATGATGGCCTTCGACATCATCCTCTACGGATTCCTGGCCTACTACTTCGACAGCGTCATACCAAGTAAACGCAATTTCCGTTATTCCAACAAATACCAATCAGAGTACAAATCTAATTTTGAAATATAATTCAAATTCAATCCGTAAATTTAATTGAATCACGTAATCCTTGATTTTCCGCCATATTCGTTTTTTTTTTGTTTGTTTGTCTATAAACAAAACACGACGCGTTCCAAACAAACGTCACACGTTACACATCGGATTGAATCTCCGGTTTGTTCGAATCGATTCGCGTCAAGATAGAAACGTTAATTTAAATTGCGAATTGCATAATGCATGTGTTGCGAAGCGGTCGCGTGAGAGGCGCGAATTTAATTGGAGTGTTTATTTTTTTATTTTGGTTTGGTTTGGTTTGTGTTGCCCAAATTTGCACCCGAAACGCGGCGAATCTGAAGGATTTAACCCCATTACGTAAGGTTTTTTTTTCTGTTTATTTTGCTTATTCAAACTTACCCAATTAACGAACCCCAACAACGAACAGCGGCAATCTTCATTGAAAATCTAACACCGAACACAACCCACGCCGTCCATCAACAACAATGTATTTATCATTTGTCATTTCCATGGCAATAACAAAATAGTAGCTTTAAGTTGTTTTCCATGGCATTCTACGATACTCTTCAAAAATTAGATTTACAATATATTAAGAAATATGAAATATTAATAATTTTTTTTTTCGTAATTTCAGGTGAATATGGAATCAAGAGATCGCCGTTCTTCTGTTTCAGACCTTCGTTTTGGTGGCCCAAGCGTCGTGCAGAGAACGTAAATAAAATTCACAAATGCAACAAAGCAAATTAAATTTCAAAAAATATTTTATTTAAATTTCAGATTCCTATAGTTAATGGAAGTTCGGTAGGTTCTTTGAACAACGTCGGTTCCGAAGAGTCGAATTGCGACGTGGAGCAGGTTCCGAGAGAGATGCGCAGCAAAGAAGCAATCAAGATTACGGATCTATTCAAATCATTTCAAGTAAGCAATATATTTTTGTTAATACTTTATTGATTGATTGATTGATTGATAATTTCTCTCTTTTTTTTTTTAAAGTATTGTCGTAAACCAGAAGTGAAGGCTGTGAATGGCATAAACTTGACGATCTATGAAGGACAGATTACAGCGATTTTGGGACACAACGGTGCAGGAAAGACGACTCTGTTCAATATACTCACAGGGTTGACGGCGCCGACGTCCGGAACGGCTTATATCTTCGGTTACGACGTCAGGTGAAGTCTAAATGACTGAATTAAATTTCAGTTTTATTTATTGTTGTTTTCTGGTGCAGAGATCCGAACGATATGGATCAAATCAGGAGGATAACCGGGGTGTGTCCGCAACACGACATCCTCTTCGATAATTTAACACCGAAAGAGCATTTGGAGTTCTTCGCTGCGGTTAAAGTGAGTGCAGTTTTTCTGTGTTGCTAATGTAGGAGGTGTTAACTTTTTGCAATTTTTAGGGTATCCCGAACGGTTTGATCGAGTATGAGGTAACAAAGACTCTGCGCGATATCGACTTGACGGATAAGGCTAATTCGTTAGCGAAGCACTTGAGCGGTGGACAAAAGAGGAAGTTGTCTGTGGGGATTGCGGTTATCGGAGATCCAAAGGTATATGCTCTTACGTAAGTTTCGAATGATGTGAATGAAATTGTACGGTTGTAGATTATAATTTTGGATGAGCCCACGGCTGGTGTGGATCCCTACTCCAGGAGGCACATGTGGAACGTGCTGCAAAACCGAAGACACGGAAAGGTGATTCTGCTGACTACGCATTTCATGGACGAAGCGGATATTTTGGCCGATAGGAAAGCGGTGGTGTCAAAGGGAAAGGTGCGGTGCTGCGGAACTTCCCTCTTCCTGAAGAACAAATTCGGGATCGGCTATCATCTGACACTGGTGCTGGAAGGTATGCGCATCAATTTATTTAGAAGTTAATGTGTTTAGTAATCCGATTCCGATTTAGGAGCGTGCAGGGAGCACGCGATCGCCAGATTGGTGACCTCGCACGTGCCCAAAGCGGAAAAGGCGCGTCGCCACGGACGGGAGCTGAGCTTCATCCTGCCGCACAACGCCGTAGATAATTTCGCCCAATTGTTCCAAGCTATCGAGCAGGAAATCAACAACAGACAAAGCCGACTAGGTGCGTTTTCAGCAGAACCAACACGAATCAACAAATAATTGAAACCGTTGCTAGGTATTTCTTGCTATGGCGTCTCCATGACAACCTTGGAAGAGGTGTTCTTGCACTTGGAGCGCGACGAAGAGACCGAATTCACCATGGACAACCTCTCCAAGAAGATGGTGCGGAACAGAGCTTTAAGTCGGAGCTTAAGTCTGCAATCGAAGAGCACCAGCTATCAATCGCTTCAGAACGAGGCCAACAACATCGAGAAGGACAAAGGTTCTATAAATAGCTAATTTCACGCACTTAAAATAACTAAATATTCAATTTTTTTTAGCCATCACCGTTGATTTGCAGACAGTTGGATTGGAAAGCATAAGCGAAACTAAATCTCCAATTACCGGTTTGGGCTTGGAGAAGGTGGAGGTCGATCCCGGAGTGTTTCAAACTCTGTTCGCGCTTCTCCGGTTGCGAACTCTTCGCTTGGTGCGCGACATCCAGAAGCTGTATTTCCTTGTGATCCTTCCGTTGGCCTTGGCAGCTTTGGGACTTTATCTGAACAGGATACAGAGTTGGGAGCCGAAGCAGAATTCGCTTCTGCTGAACGGTGCGCAGATTTATGGAAAGGGATCGAAGATTGCTATACACAATGCGACTTGGAGCAGTTTAGATCCGATGCTGGATCAGTTGAACGCTCTCGGTATTAACGATTACACATTCTATGATGGTAACTTTAGTTTGCTGCTGGATATCTATCCGCATATGGCGGCTCTGAACGTGAATTCGTTTTCTTATCCGGACGTCAGCTTGACGTTGATTTATAATGACACGATGCAGCACAGTTTGCCTATAATGATCAATTTGATTAGCAACGCCATCTACAGGTGATTTGATTTAATTGGTGGGTTTTGTTTAAATTTAATTTTATGTGTTTATTAAGGTTGATGAGTCCGGAGCGTTTGAGTCACGGGAATTGGGAGCCTATAGAGGTGATGGCGCAACCTTTTCCTCAGACCGTGCAACCGCAGGAGTTCAATATGGGCGTCTTCACGACGGCCACCTTCATCGGGATGATCTTCGTGTTGGTGCCAGCTTCTTTGGCAATCGATTTGGTGTACGATAGGGAGATTAAGGCGAAGAATCAGTTGAGGGTCAACGGGTTGAGCTTTTCCATGTACTTCGTCACGTTCTTCATGGTGCTGGCAGGATTGATGCTTTTCATTTGCGCTGCGCTTCTCCTCATCGTCATCCTTTTCGATATACCCTCGCTCAGAGATCCTCCAGCTTTGGTCACTCTCGGCGGACTCGTTTTACTCTATTGTCCCGCCTCGATACTCTTCAGCACGTGCGTCAGCTACATCTTCGATAAAATGGACTCGGCCCAATCTATCCTCCCGAACATCGCCACTTTCCTGGGATGCATTCCGTTCGTTATGGTCACATTCTTGGACATGCTCAGAATCGGTGAGTATTTTCCAAATCCTATAGCATTGAAGTTATTAACAATCTTCTTTCAGCTGGAAGCGCCACTTTCATCTTGCACGTTTTCTTCTCGCTGGTCAACACCATGTACATTCCCTACGGCATAGTTTACTACGTGCAAAGAGTTTACTTGATGTGCACGGTGAACAGCGCTTGCACCAACTTGACGTTCGCCGATTACATGTCCGACGAGATCATCGTCATGGTCGTCGGTATTCTCATCCACATCCCGCTCTGGTTCTTCGTGCTCGTCATCTTGGACATCAAGAAAGGAGGCGGAAAGATCGGAGATGCCTTCAAAATGTTCCGAGTAAACACACACACAGCAAAAAGCACCAATTAACAAACAATTACAATGCAAATAATTACTTGCAGGGAAAATCCAAGGAAGTGTTCGACGATGTCAACGACATAAGCGACGTCGGCGAGAACGAGGACATCGACGTTATTGCTGAAAGGCAAAAGGTCACGACGATCCTAAACTCGCACACACAGAATCCTCCAGTTGTGATGGTGCAAAATCTGCACAAGGAATACACGAAGAACGATTACAAATTCTCCGAGTGCTGCTGCAAGCGTGAAGAGCCGACGACGACGAAGGTGGCCATCAGGAGTTTATCTTTGGGCGTCGACGCCGGAGAAGTTTTCGGTCTGTTGGGACACAACGGTGCAGGAAAAACCACAACGATGAAAATCATAACCGCAGAAGAGGCAGCTACCAGAGGAAGAGTAAGTTTTTCATAAGAAATCAATTGAAGTTAGTAATTTGTATTTATGTTTAGGTGCAAATTGGCGGACAAAGTATTACGTCGAATAAATCGGACGCGTTCAGATTATTGGGTTATTGTCCACAACACGACGCTTTGTGGAAGAACATCACTGTTAAAGAGCATTTGGAGTGTTACGCGGCAATTCGTGGTGTTCCACATAGTCAAATATCCGGGTAAGTTACAAATTTCATGACATAACTATAATGACAGTTCAATATGTCAATTATTTAATGAACGTCAAAAGTTTTGAAGAAGTTAAAGATAACTATAATGACAGTTCAATATGTCAATTAATTAATGAACGTCAAAAGTTTTGAAGACAAATTGTATCATTTTCATTTATTATTTCAGAATTGTTAACTTGTACTTGTCCGGTCTGCAAATACACGAGCACGCGGATAAGCAGACGCATCAATGCTCCGGAGGAACGAGGCGTAAATTGTCTTTCGCTATGGCGAGTATCGGTAATCCCAAGGTGGTGTTGATGGATGAGCCAAGTACAGGCATGGATCCAAGGAGCAAAAGGTTCCTGTGGGACACGATCTTAGCTAGTTTTCAGGTAAACAAATAGTGATGTTTTCGATATGAAATTTAAACTTTGCTGACGTTTAGGGTAAAAGGGGTGCCATCCTGACGACGCACTCCATGGAAGAAGCGGACGCCCTCTGTTCGCGAGTCGGTATAATGGTTAAAGGAGAACTTAGGTAAAGTAATATTTTGTTTGATAATATTGATTGTTATTAATGATGATTATGTTTTAGATGTTTGGGGTCGACTCAACATCTGAAGAACATGTACGGAGCAGGATACACGTTGGAAATGAAGCATCGAGGAGGCGATAAAACCCCGACCAACGACAGACACACCGAGCTGAAGGAGTTCGTGAACTCTCTGTTCCCGGAAGCAACGCTTCAAGAGAGCTTCGCCGATCGTCTGGTCTTCAGCGTTCCCCAACAGAGCGTACCGTCGTTGGCGAATTGCTTCACGCAATTGGAGAAAGGTTGAAAATGAAGTTGCCTACATCACAAATCACATTACTAATTAAATTCAATTGCAAACAGCGAAAACCGAGCTCGACATCGAGGAGTACAGCTTCAGCCAGACGACACTGGAGCAAGTGTTCCTGAAGTTCGCGCAGATCGATGAAATCAACGACGAATGATGAATGAATCAAAAGAGGAATTATTAATTTATATTCAAGTAACGAATTTTTCGTTTGTCTTTTTTTTAGCGCAATTTGCTACCACTACAAGATAACTAAACATTATATTAATTAAGTAAAAAGAAACCCCAACCCGAAAAGCGTATTTAAACAAAAAAAAATAACGTACTTAATCAAAAACAAAATAATTAAGTAAATACAAGCGGATTTACGATTAAGGATACAAAAACTATATATATATATATATGATAAAAAAAAAGCAAAAAAAAATATAATATTTCGTAAAAATAATGGTACAATAAAGATTTCAATTAATTTCGATTGTTTTGTCGGTGGTTATTGTGTAAAGAAACATCTGCAAGATGAAAAATAAAAAAAGAAGAAGTTATGAACTAAATGATTATTAAATATTAAATTATATCAATTTTACGAGAACAAACAAATTGTTTATATACATATATATATATATTGATTTATTGTTTCGACGTAATTTGTTTATTTTTTAGCGAACATTAAATATTGTGTATATTTGAAGAAAGATTATTTAAAAAAAAAATTATATATATATAATAATATAAATAAAACACTCGAAATACGCGTTTTCTACACGACTCCTTTTATTTCATCATTACCCAACAGTGAAAGATGTGATTATAGAAAAATTGTCTGCACATTTTAAGATTTTTCTCAGTAACCGTACGTCGCATTAATATTAATTAACACTCTAATGAAAGATAAATATTCAGGTTTTCTTTTTAGCTACTAAAGTTTTCCTGTAATTAAATTTCAAAGTTAATAATGATCAATATTAATATATGAAAAAACTTTAATATATGCAACACTATTTACATTAAAATATTAAACAAACGTTTATGGATAATAAATTAGTCTTTTACCTTGATAATTAACTTTTTTCTTAAATGAAATACGCTAAATAAGTACTTTGTGTCTATTATCTAAAGAGCAAAGTTATATTTATAGATTTTTTTTGAAATTTTGTTTCCAAGTGTCAAATTTGACAAGTATTATATGAAGAATTTTTTGATTGGTTCAATGAAATGTCTAATTTGACAAGTATTATATGAAGAATTTTCTGATTGGTCCAATGAAATGTCTAATTTGACAAGTATTGTATGAAGAATTTTCTGATTGGTTCAATGAAATGTCAAATTTGACAAGTATAAAAATTACGGTTGAGTACGGTTCGTGCAGTCGTCGAGTGTGGTTGGTGCCTAACCTCAAT